GCTCATTTCCCGTTTTGTGAGCTCCATAGTTATTCAAAATTTGACTCCTTTGTGGAGGAGGTGCAAGAAGCAGTGTACCAATATATTCCATCTTTACAGCAGGTCTTGTGTTAGAAAAAATATTGGAATATGTAAAATTTGAAAAGAATATAATGCTTATTTCACAAATAATAAGAGATCGAATTATTGAAAATTTGGACCCTTTGGAGAGAGGTACCAGAAGGAGGTAGACCGATATACTCCATCTTCACACCTGATTATGTGTTAATAGAAATATTGGGATATGTAAAGTTTGAAGAGAAGCGGATTCTTATTTCACGATTTAAAAATGTTTTAATTATTCCAAGATGTGACCCTTTGTAGGGATCGGACTAATATTCTCTTTTCGCACCTGCCATAGCACTAATACAAATATTGGGATTCGTAAAGTTTGCACCAAATTGGATAATCCTTTTTTTTTTTTTTTTGAAAATATCGGCCTTTTGTAGGGTAGGTACCAGAAGCACTGGACATATATATTCCATCTTCACACCAGGTCTTGTGTTAATGGAAATGGAATGGGATGTGTGAATTTGGAAGAGAACTGGATATTTATTTCGCATTTTATGAGATATAAAATAATTCAAAAGGTTGGCCCGTTGTGAGGAGGTACCATCGTCACACCAGATTTGGTGTTATCGACAAGTAAAAAAGTTGAATACCCTCCACGAATTTCGCAATATTTCAAAAAATAAAATGCGTTAAAATTTTTTTCAATATATTAAAAATGCCAAATATAGCTGTTACATTAGGGTCTAAAAAAATCGGTGAATAATTTAGCTAAAATCATCAAAATACCGAATATAGAGAGGTACTAATACATGGGGGCTATACCAAAACGTGGACCTGCACAGGTCCATTGCGAACTTCAAATTCCAAATTTGAAACAATTCCGGTGAACATTGTCGCTAAAATCATCAAAATACCGAATATCGGGAAGTATCGGCTATACGATGGCGTGGACCTGCACAGACAATTTTCTGTCATAGGCTGCAGTATCCATTATGAACTTCAAGTACCAAATTTTAAACAATAATGTAGCTAAAATCATCAAATTACCGAAAATCGGGAGGTACTGCACACATAATATACATATGAGTAAAATTTTATAATTGTTAGAAATAGAATGACAAATTTAATATACCCTCCATACTATTGTGGAGGGTATAAAAATTTGAAATTTCAGGAGAATCCGGTACATATGAGCGTTTTGTTTATTCAAAAATTGGACCTGTTGTGGGGGAGGTACCTTACAAAAAATATTGTGATGTGCCAAGTTTGAAAGGAATCGGATGCTCATTTCGCGTTCTCTTAGCTTCATGTATATTTCAAATTCTGACCCGCTGTGGGGTAGGTACCAGAAGGGGGGAACATCCTTCACACCCGAAAGATATTGGCATGTGAAAAAAAAAGTCGAAGACAATCGGGCCATTATTTCTTTATTTATAAGGGTTGTAATTATTTCAAATTTTAACTTTTTGTGGGGGAGGTACGTGCTAGAGTGAAACGATATTGTCCAATTTCACACCTAACTTAGCACTGACAAGAATATTGGGATTTGCGAAGTTTGCACAAAATCGAATGGTGCTTTCCCTTTTTATGGGTTAAATTTTTTCATTAAAAATGATTACCTTTTGAGAGGGTGATAGTAGAAGGATGGACCATCTTCAAGTTTGGACCAAACCGGATATTCCCTTCGAAGGGTATCGTGCTTATCAGTCAGACAGACGGAAGGGTGGACGGACATCGCTAGATTGAAATTGTTGTTACCTAAAGGATTCAAATCTGATACGAAGTCTGCCTTAATTCTCCATTATATATATAATATATATCGCAAATATATTTATGACAAATAAAAAAAATTTTTTTCGGAAGGCCAGCATTTTTTCCGAATCTGTTGCTAATGGTCTGCAAATTACGCACAGCCAATGAAGGGTGTGGCAAATACCTAGCATATTATTAATAGTATTTTTAATAATATTCAGTTTTTTGGCAAAAACATAAACTTTTTTTGGGGTTTCAGGTCAAATCTTTTCAAAGGCCCCCTTGATATGAAAAAGGTATGCCAATATTTTGACATATATTTAGCAATATTTAATATGGCGTTTTGAGAATTCCTATAGAGTTTCAGATTAGTTGGAAAATCATTGGACTAAAAAAATGGGGTGTATCGGACCACTTTTTGATATAGACCTTACTTAGGGCAAACTCAGATTTGAAAATTAACACTATTTAATATATTTCATACCCTACAACACTATGTGTGGGGGTATTATAAGATGGATCGTAATTTGTAAACACTCTGCAGGTCGCAAATATGGCCCGATCTTCACGAAATTTAGAATGGAGGTGGGCTGGAGCCAGAATAGAACCCTATTGCTTTTAGAGATGATCGCATAATATTTAGGGGTTGAAATGGACCAAAAACTGAAAAATTTCCTGATTTTGCAGTTATTCTACAGGTCACAATTATAGAACAATAGAAGCGGAAGTTATCTTGGGGCTAGACCTTATTGCTAGGCAGAAGCCTTCCAATTTTGAAGGTCATCGGTTTACATTTAGTGGGTGAAGTAAACCATAACATTTGTAATAAATAAAAGTCAAATTTTCCCTTAAACCGCGAATATTTTTAATCCCGACGAAATCACATATACGAACAGGTCAATTCTGACCGTTACGTAGATGCCGATAGTAAATATATCGGATATATATAGCGAAATTTATACAATGTATATGTGCAAAGGATGGGGATATTAGCTAGAATGCATATATCTCAAGAATGGCTGCACCGATTTTGACAAATTTTGTCAATTCAGAATGCTATCTTGGCATGAAAGTACAAAATCTAAAACAATCTCATAAAAAAGCCAATAATGATATTAATATAGATTTTGTTGTATTTTGTGACATTTTTTATTTTTATATTTTTTATCGCATCCGATTTTTTTAATTTGACTTATAATATTGAAGTGTATATTTTGTAATATTTTTTTCACCTTACACCACAGGTTGGGGTTATTATATACAGATTGCAATTATCGTCCGATCCTTACGAAAATTTTCACAAGGCTAAGGTTAGGCTCAGAGGGGCTAGGCCTATTGTTTGCAAAGATGCCCGCAATAAATTTTGGGGGTTGAAATGGATCAACAACTAACAATTTTGCTGATTTTGCAACCGTTATAAAGGTCAAAAATAGAAACCAAAGGACACGAAATCTCGCATGAAGTTAGAGTTTGGGACAGCGGTAGAATGGACCACTACTGTTGTGTGAAAAAATACCAGCATTACTTACAGGCAATATCCGAAGTAGGCAGAAAGCGAACTTCTGGCTTTTTATACCCTCCACCATACTATGGAGGGTATATTAATTTTGTCATTCCGTTTGTAACTCCTCGAAATACTCATGTCAGACCCAACAAAGTATATATATTCTTGATCAGCGTAAAATTCTAACACGATTTAGCCATGTCCGTCTGTGTGTCTGTCTGTCTGTCTGTTGTAATCACGCTATCTTTCGAACAAATTGAGATAGAAGGCTAAAATTTTGCACACATGTATGTTTTGCCAGTAGGCAGGTTGAGTTCGTAAATGGGCCATGTAGGTCTAAGTTATCATATAGCCCCCATATAATGGTACCCCCCGTTATTCGGTATTTTGATGATTTTAGCGACATTATTTACCGGAATCGTTTCAAAGTTGACATTTGAAGTTCGTAATAGATGCTGCAGCATAAAACAGAAAATGGGCCATGTAGGTACACGTCTTCGTATAGCCCCCAAATACCGTACCCCACGATATTCGGTATTTTGATGATTTTAGCGACATTATTTACCGGAATTGTTTCAAATCTCGCATGTGAAGTGCGAAATGGATACTTCAGCCCATGCCAGAAAATTGTCTGTGCAGAACCACGTCTTCGTATAGCCCCCATGTAACGGTACCCCCTATATTCGGTGTTTTGATGATTTTAGCTACATTATAAACAGATTTTTCTTCAAGTTTCGCATTAAAATATTGTAATAACTTATGAAAAAAGTTGCCTATGCGGGTCCACGTCGTCGTATAGGCATTCGGTATTTTTAAGATTTTAACAGAATTTTTAACGGATTTTATTATTTTTTTTTTTTTTTGATATTGTCAAATTTGTACCAAATGGTGGAGGGTATTAAAAGTTCGGCCCGGCCGAACTTACAGCTTTTTTACTTGTTTATGCTGATTTCGTTGACGAATATAGCCAAATATCATAGACAATTAGCTCATATAGATGAGTCTACATTTGTAGGTATAGAGGGGCCTCTTTCTTTTGGAGATGATCGCAAAATATTTAGGAGTTCAAATAAACCAAAAACAGAAAAAATTTCCTGATCACACAATTGAAGCCAATCGACACGCCTGAGAAGAGGGTTCAGGATAGGGAAGAAATCTATCATTTTGGATGACCATTGCATTATATTTAGCTTTAAAATGGACCACAACAACTAACAGCACGACGGAGTGCTCAAATATTGGGCAAATGTCCCTGATGAAAATGCTAAGGGTAGTATCTGGACAGTGCTCCATGGCATAATTTCAAATTCGAAATCTTCCAAAAGTGTTGTAGGGTATCACATGGTTGTCCCCTTAAGACTATAGCCTTTGCTTACTTGTTTTATTTACAATTATTTAAGTCAATCTCTAAATTACTCAATAAAGTGCCCCAAATAGTGACAGTTTCAGAACAAATGCCCTTATATTTCTGTTTAAATAATTAAATGAACTAAGTAATCTATTAAATTCATTTCTATATTTTCCTTCATTGCAATCGACTAAGTGGTTTCCAGTGTCTTTTGGAAAATTTATGAATTTTGATTTGTGGCCAATCTTACAAAAAATCCAAAAAAAAAGAAATTAAATAAAACACTTAACCAAAAACATATAACAAATGATTCTGATTTATTTTTTTTTAGATTTTTTTTCAGTTTTTTGTTATTTACAAAACAACACAACACAAATTGAAGAATTTGGAATGCGCATTTCAAATGTGGTAAAAAGAGGAGATAGAGAGAGAGCCAGAGAGTAAACAAACAAAAATGCCTCTGAGCCGACAACGACGTTCGGCATCAGCGGCGATTTACTCACCCATATCATCGATGATTGGCGCCATACGTAACGTTATACCGACCAACATGAGGCACATGAGCAACAGGAGACACGCTGTGGCTATAATAGTCCAGCGGGCACGTTGTGGCAAGTCATCGGGATCGATTACCTTTGGCGGCGTGAAACGAGAAAGAAAAAAATAAGAAAATACAATATTTTGCAAAAAAAAAAAAAAAAAAAAAAAAAAATTACAAAATTTGGTATTTTCTGCGAATCAATTGGTGCCTTACCTTGACTTCCTGGGTTTCTAAGTCTTGTACAAGAATTTTTGGTTTTTTATGGCGATGACGTTTTTTGTGGCGATGGTGTCTACAAGAAAGAGAAGAGAGGAGGAGAGATACATAATATTAATTTCAATTATAGATAATCTATAAAAATTGTATTGATCGCATATGCTCTCCCAAAAGCGCCAACATTTTTATATCTTTCACCACAAAGGGTGAGAAAAAAAAACTGCAACAAAGTCAAACACCATAATTTTTACACTTTTTTTAAATTTTATTGAATGAAAGCAAAAAATATCGAAAATAGCATCAAATTTCCGAATAAGTTTAGATTTTCTTCGAATTGGTCACCTTTGGCACGAATTATGGCCTTCAAATGGCCAATGAAACCGTCACACACTGCCCGCATGTTGCTATGCGGTATTTTGGCCCATTCCCGGTGAGATTTGGCCCATTGGTATCAGGAGATTTTGGTGGTCATTTTCCGCTGGAAATGATGCGAGGAACCTCATTTGTAACCATTCTTGGGTGGTGCGTGCTCACTGCGATGGTATTGAGTCCTGTTGGAATGTCCAAGGTCTGCGGACAAAATGTTTGCGGGCCCAAGGCTTTAATACCCTCTCCTGAATATTTTCACGATAATATTCACCATTAATTTTGATGCCACGGTCGATTAATAAGAGCGGAGAGCGACCATCGGCTGTTATGGCGGCACACACCATCACCATGGCCGGCGCCAATTTCCAACCAAATTAGGTAAAACTTGACACTTAGGGTTCCAGGCAGGTCGGTTCTCTCACCGCAGAAATTGTTCGCTACAAGACCACTAATTGGTATAGCCCCTGTATAACGGTACCCCGCGATTTTCTATATGTTGAAGATTTCCGCTAAAATTTTTAGCCAAATTAGATGAAACGTCACCATTAGGGTTCTCAATAGGTCTGTTCTCTTCCTAAAAAAAATATTCGCCACAGGTCCACTAATTGGTATAGGCTCCATATAACACTACCTCCCGTTTTTAGGTATTTTGCAGATTTCTGTCACAATCTCCAATTAAGTTGACTGAAATTTAACCACTAGGGTTCTCGGTAGATATGTTCCCTCTCCCTGCAAAAAATGTTCGATTCAGGTTCACTTATTGGTATAGCCCCCATATAACCATTCCTCCAGATTTTCGGTATTTTGGAGGTTTCTGCCACAATTTCCAACCCAATCAACTGAAACATGACAATTGGGGTTCTTAGCAGTTCTGTTCTATCCTAGCAAAACATTTTGGCTACAGGTCCATTAATTCGTATGGCTCCCATATAGCGGCACCTCCCGATTTTCGTTATTTTGAAGGTTTCTGCCACTATTTCCAACCCAGTCAACTGAAAGTTGACAGTCAGGGTTCGCGGTAGGTCTGTTCTCTCCTTAAAAAAAAATATTCCCTACAGGTTAACGAATCGGTATAGCCGCTGTATTAAATGAAACCTTATAGTTGGGATTCTCAATAGGCCTGTTGTTTTCCATGCAAAAAAATTTCGACCCAGGTTCACTAATTGGTATAGCCCCCATATAACGATACCTTCCGATTAGCGATATTTTGAAGGTTTCTTGCACAATTTCTAACCAAATGAAATGAATCTTGGCGATCGGTGTTCTTGGTAGGTATGTTCTCTCCCTGCAAAAAATAATCGCCGCAGGCCCGTTAAATCTATACCCCCAGATTTTCGGAATTTTGAAGGTTTCTGTCACAATATCCAACCCAATCAAATGAAACTTGACATTTAGGGTTCTCGGTAGGTCTGTTCTCTTCATGCAAAAAATGTTCGATTCAGGTCCACTTAATGGTATAGCCCCCATATAACGATACCTCCCGATTTTCGGTATTTTGAAATTCCAATCAAATTCCATCCCAATCAAATGAAACATGACAATTGGGGTTCTTGGTAGGTCTGTTCTCTCCCTGCAAAAATATTCGCTACAGGCCCATCAATTCTATAGTTCCATATAAAGCTACCTCCCGATATTCGGCATTTATACAACCCAATCGAAAGAAACTTGACTATTGGTGTTCTTGGTAGGTCTGTTCTCTCCTTACAAAAAATAATGGCTACAGGCCCGATCATTGGTATAGCCTTTACATAACGGTACATCCTTTTTTCAGGTTTTTAAGCATTCTGCCACAATTTCCATCCCAGTTAACTGAAACTTGACAATTGAAGTCTTTTGCCGTTCTGTTCTATCCTAGCAAAAATTATTCTCTACAGGTCCACTAATCGATATAACCGCCATATAACAGTACCTCCCGATTTTAGGTACTTTTTTAGGTTTCTGCCACAATTTCTAACCAAATTAAATGATACCTTATATTTGGGGTTCTCAGCAGGTCTGCTTTTTCCTTTCAAAAAATTTTTGATCCAGGTCCACCAATTGGTATAGTCGCCATATAATGGTACCCCCCGATTTTCGTCACAATTTCCAACCAAATTATATGAAACTTGACCATTAGGGTTCTCTGTAGGTCTGTTCTCTTTCAGCAAAATTTTTTTTAATTCAGGTCTATTGATTGGTATAGCCCCCACATAACGGTACTTCCCGATTTTCGGTATTTTCAAGGTTCTACCACAATCTCTAATTAAATTGACTGAAACTTTACGATTGGAGTTCTCGGCAGAATTACAAGAAAATATTGAATAAAAATATTTATTTTGAGACTTTCTCTGCCTCACTTCGTCTTTGTTAACCAACCAAACAATAAACGTGCACTCAACTGCCTGATGCTGCCGCCGAACGTCAGGCAGGCAGGCAGGCGGCATATCCTTTTTGTAACCCCTTTTTTGTTGTCAATGGGTGCATAACCGTTAAAGCATGTTCGAGTCGTGGTTGTTAGTATTGCCAGCAACCGATGCGGATTGGAGAATGGAAACTATACCTTGACCCAAATTCGGGATGAATGAAAGAAGAAATAAAAAAACAAACAACAACAACAAAAAAGCAATAAAACAAAATAAAAAATTACAAAAAAATAAACAGAACTGGTGAAGTAAGACATGGGGGCATAATTAAAATGTTTGCAAAGCACGGAGGACAACAGCAGAAGGAGAAGCTTTTTCTGTGCCAAAACAAAATCCATAGTTGCATGGGTATCGCTGCTCCCAAAAGGTAACGCTCACAAAGGCAACAAATACAACACCGGATGTAAGGCACAAACTGAATGAACGAGCAATAGACAAAGTCACAGAAGAATTTCTCAAATCCGTTGTAGAATTGCATAGATCCCCCCCCCCCCATTTTTTTAGTAATAATCGAAATTGAAAGAAGAGGGACTCGGGGAGAAAAAAAAATATGGTAAAGCATTTATGGCTGTGTCTCTTGCGGTAGACGCAAAGCGTTTATGTGGCATCAGAAATGGTGGCAGGTGCATTTGTTCTCTTTCTATTCACACAGAACCGGAAATGAAAGAACAAAAATACGGAAAGGATTCTGTTAACAACAACATCGACAAGAGCCATGTGAAACAACAAATTGTATGGTGATTCCAATGGACAGAAGTGAACAACCTATTAGTGAAGGTTAATAAGTTTTGAAATATTCAATATGGATTTAAAATGTTGTGAAAGGATATATTTTCATATTTTTTAACAACTACGAATTTTTGAATGCAAAAAGGTATTTTATTTTAATAAAGACATCTATTAATATCCTACAGGGTTGCGCATGTTCGACGGACCCATGACCCATTCCAATCGACGAGGCTTGTCCGCAGGCAACATTCTTTGCGTCAATTGAATTTTGTACGGGAACAAATGCAAATCAATGCGAATAATCCGTTGTAAAGTGGACCGAGCCATGCCCAACTGCTGAGAACGGCGTTTTTAGGATGTTCTTGGGGACCTCTCAACAGTGGCTCCTACGGCAGCGATATTCTCGGCCGATCGTCTTGGTCGACTTTTATATGGCCTCTTCGGATTAGAAAGAGCCTTACCAGTCGAAAATTTTTCGTATAAACGCTTAATGGTGTTCTTAGAAGGCGCACTTCTCACATTTTTTAATGTTTTAAAAGCACGTTGAGTTTTCACAAATGACTTCTTCTGTTGAATGTAAATTTCAACTATTTCAGAGCGCTCGCGTGACGTGTATTGGTTCATGGTAAAAATCTGCTTGGACCGACGCTTCAAACGCGGTATGTCATTAAGCGATGTGACATCTCTGTCAAAAGTTATGGCGTCGCCAGATGGGTCCGATGAATATGGGCAACCCTGTACATCCTACAGTCCAATAGAAATCAAATTTTCAAATTTCAGAATTCCAACACTACCCGTTCATCCAACATTTAAATTGTACCATTTAGAACACATAAGTACAAATTTGCCAAACTACCTACATACCCAGTCCTACTATGCAATAGTAATCGTATTTCCACTTTCCAGGATTCAAAATCTATTGGTTCTGACAAAGCAACATTGGTCTTAGAAAACAACAGTTATCTTATTTCTAAATTTCTGAATTCCAGCTCTATCGGTTCACCCAAATCGAAATTGTACCAAATTCAGTACAAATTTTCATAACTACCTACATCATACAGACCAAGAGAAATCTTATTTTCAAATTCCAGAATTCCAACTCTAGCAGTTCAAATTTAGTACCTTCAGTACACATAAGTACGATTTGACAAAAACTACCTACCTTCCTCACTCCTAGAATGCAATAGTAATCTTATTTCCAATTTTCAGGATACCACCTCTGTTGGTTCACCCAAATCCAAATTGTACCATTTAGTACATTTAAGTAAATATTTACATAATTACCTACATCATACAGACCAAGAGAAATCTTATTTTCAAATTTCAGAATTCCAACTCTAACAGGTCATCGAACATTTAATTTGTACCAAATTTAGTACCATTTAGTACACATAAGTACGATTTGACAAAAACTACCTACATTCCTCACTCCTAGAATGCAATATTTGTAACATGGAGAAGGAAACGAGATAGACCCATAGTTACTTTTGAGAACCTTCATAGAATCACTTTCTGAGTCGATTTATGCATGTCAGTCCGTCTGTCCATGTATTCTTGTGAACAAAATGCAGGTCGC